GCCACGCCCAACGATCGCATGCTGCTGCCGCCGCCGCCGCTGCTCCCGCGCCCAATGCCGCCGCCGCCCTAAAGCCTAACGCTGTTGTCACTGCTCCCGCACCCGATTGCCGCTGTACTCATGCCGTCCAGCCACCACGCCTAAGACGCCCGGTTTCCTCACCCCGCCCGAGCTGCTGCCCCGCCTAGTCCAGCCGCCGCCTAACGTCGTGCTACTGTTGTGCCGACCCGACCCTGTGAGCTACTACCTCCTCTGTTGTCCATTTGCTGCCGAGACCCTGCGGGGTTTGTTGCTTCGACAAGTCCCTCGCCGACCCCCACCGTCGCCATCGTGCTCATGGCCAGACCTGTGGCCGTGACCTACGGCTCCTGCAGTCGTCCTCATCGCCGTTCAGCGCTGTCCCGGAGGATCCCGTTGTTCCGATACTTAGCCGAGCGGGAGCTTACTACCTGGCGCTGTCCCCGATCCGTCCCGAAGTTTCTTGTCGCTCACGTGGCCGTGGCCGTGGCGTCCCTACACCGGTGCGCCCCGTGTCTTTGCTTTACAAATTGACTAAGCGTCACCGCATCGTTGCTGTTGTGTCCGCTGTCAACTGCCCGTTGCCGGTCACCCATTGACAACGGCAATCCCAATCTATCGGCGATTCAAATTTGGAAAGAAATTTGCAAATCAGGTAAAAATCTCTATCCGGTATATTTTCAAAATATTTAGATTCCTAGTTTAAATATTTTAAATATTCCGTGAATATCGCGTGATTAACTAGATACCTTAGGATAATGTTTGTGATATCCGCAATATCATAAGATACCCCAAATTAGGAGTTCTGCCTAATTTAGCAACGTATCTGGACGGTTATTTGACCTTAACCCTAACGAACAATACGCAGTGGTACGGAAAGATCATTATTTTATCAATAACTACTTGGATATAATAATGGATCTTATTTGCTTTCCAAATTCAAATAATTGATTTTCCGTCGATATCTATAATCCTATAGATATGACTATTAGTTCGATTCCCTTTCCTAATTCGAATAAGATAAGAATAATTTTGCGGATTGTATGAATTGGTTGGTGCGTGATTGTTATCTTTCATGTGATTTGTTTTCCTTTTAAAAAGAAAATCCAAAAATATGTTAGATAGGATTTAAATTAGAAGTTTTGCATGTTTAAGGAATCCTAAATGCATCTAGAAGATAAGATAATTATTTAGTTTAAATTGGGACTTAAGATAATTCATCTCCTAGTTTAAATTAGGTGTTATTTTAATCCTAATAGATTATTTAGGGTATTTTAAGATTTCGAATTTCCATGAAAATCCCAAAAAATGAGTTACTTTAGGATAGATTGCATGTTAACTTGAGTAATTTTTAATTTCGAATTTTAATTAAAAAATACCAAAAAGAGAAGTTTTTCTAGTATAAATAAAATTGCTTTTTTAGGGTAGATCGCATGTTAACTTAGAGAATTTAAATGAAAAATACCAAAAATACATCATTTGCCTGTCATTAGAGTTAGGTCATTTAATTGCATGTCATATAGTTTGCATGTTAGGTTTAATTAATCGCATGTCATACTTTGCACGCCATGGTACTTAGGCTAGTTTCATTTAATCAGGAGAAAACCCAAAAAAAAAATACATTGAGTGAATTGCTTTGTTAATTAGAAATCATATTAGGCCTGTCTGTATAATTTTCTAGCTAACAATGTAGATGCTTTCGTTGCTCTAAGGTACGCTATTCTCCTAATCTAGCAATTTATTTATCGCTTTCCTTATTGGGTGTTAAATTAGTGGATTGCACACCTGCATGGTCACCCCGCATGTTAGTATTATAGGTAATAAAATGGATCTATACTGCTTGTCAAAACATTTTTTTCGAAAGCGTTAAATTAGATCTAGCGTAATCAAATTCCCGAGCTTAAAATCTCTGGTTCGTAGAAATAAAACATATCTCCCTATGTTTTATTTAGGTTTCTAATCGACCTACCGCAAATAGATTAGTGGCGACTCCAAGCATGAAAATAATTGCATGTTAAGAACTTTAACCCTAAGTCGCGAATTGATAGGGCTCGGGAGGGCCCGAGTTAGGCTTAGTCTTAATAATCCATTAGCTGAGGTTAGGTCGCGACAGCTTGTATGATTTTCTAGCTAACAATGCAAATGATTTCATTGCTCTAAGGTATGCTATTCTCCTAATCTAGCAATTTATTTATCGCTTTTCTCATTGGGTGTTAAATTGATGGATTGCGCACCGCATGGTCACCCCCGCATGTTAGTATCTAGGTAATAAAATAGATTTAGACTGCCTGTCAAAACATCTTTTTTGAAAAGAAAATGTACCGAAAGGGCGTTAGACTAGATCTAGCGTAATCAAGTCCCCGACCTTAAAATCTCTGGTTCGTAGAAATAAAACATATCACTCTATGTTTTATTTAGGTTTTTAATTGACCTAGCGCAAATAAATTAGTGGCGACTCCAAGCATGAAGACATTTGCACGTTAAGAACTTTAATCCTAAGTCGTGAATTGGTAGGGCTTGGGAGGGTTCGAGTTAGGCTTAATCTTAATAATCCATTAGCAGAAGTTAGGTCGCGACACGGTTGTTGCCATTATGTTCTTTACTTTTTGTAGGTTTGGTTTCTATGTAATTGCTATAGTTATAACACAGCCCTACGTGATAATTGGCGAGGATGAAAACTACGTAAAGAGATGGGGAATGCCTAAATAATCTTTTTTTCACCTGTCAATTAGTTGCCATTAATAATGTTCAAAACTCCAATGATTAAGTGAAATTGACCTCATCATGAATGTTCTCAATAGATTTGTCTTAAGAAAGAAGAAAATTCTTGACGGAACAGTGTAATAAAGATCTTGCTTTCTCGAATATGAATCTCCGTAGGCCCCCTGAATTGTAATTTAAGAAATATATATATTAGCCACGTCAGCCACTAAGTCTTTGAAAAAAGGTCGCACTTTGGCACAATAAAAAATAAGATTAATACCACGAAAAATCCTAAACTAGTACGCCCATGACAAGTTTGCCCCAAATTAATTTTTTGACTATCAAAACCTCAAAAATGGTACATTTATGACAAATTTACCCATTATTAAATTGAATTACTACAAAAAAAAAACGAAGGGTAAAATCCCAAACTGGTACATTCGTCAACTGCCATGTGTCATTTATCTTAGCAATTTGACAGTAAAATTTAACAAAAATTAACGGAGGGTAAATTTGTCACATGTGTACCAGTTTGGGGTTTTTGGTAGTGAAAAAATTAGTTTTGGATAAATTTATTACTGATGTACCAATTTAGGATTTTTCGTAATAATAATCCTAAAAAATAATAATTAAAGTCAATACTCACCCGATTTATCTGTCAATCGGCCTTATAAGGATTGCCATGAAAAACAAGCATTTTTTTTTATCTCGGGATACTGACATCATCTTAGTTCCACATTCGAATTTTATTTAGGATGATCCATCTTCCTAAGTTTTTAGTATAAACTAAAGCATGCTAATCAGGGTTTGTATGAAAATGTTTTTCTAATACGAAATGAAAACCCAAGAGAAATGTCTATGGGTGTGTTTATTCAAGCGTGAGAATTTTCTATGAATTAGTTTTTTAGGCTTTCACGAGTTGGTTTGCTGAAAATGAAAATCATTTACTGATCGAAGAAATTATATATTCTTAAAGTTAGGAAAATAAATTCTCTAACCTGAAATAGCAAATGTATTTTTAAATGGCTTATGACCGAAGTGACACAAATAGAAACCGTGATCACTTTTTAGCGCTTCTACAATTTTCAGGACCAATCTTCAGGAATTGATTTTTTTTGGGGTTAATACCATGAAAAATTCCAAATTGGTACACCTATAATAATTTTACCAAAAACTAATTTTTTGACCATAAAAAATCTTAAACTGATACATCTATGACAAATTTACCCCGAACTATTTTTTTGACTACCAAAAAGCCCACACTGGTACACAATTTTACCCCGAACTATTTTTTTTACCACCAAAAATCCCAAACTGGTACACCAGTGATAATTTTACCCCCAACTAATTTTTTGACCACTAAAAACCCCAAACTAATACATTTGTGGCAAATTTACTCTCCGTTAGTGTCCGTTAAATTGGATTAATATCACGAAAAATCAAAAATTGATAAACTTGTGACAAATAGAGGGGTAAAACCCCAAACTGGTACACCCATCAACTACCACGTATCATCAAACTTAGCAATTTAACGGTAAAATTTAACGGATGATAAATTTATCACAAGTGTACCAATTTGTGATTTTGGTGGTCAAAAAATTAGTTCGGGGTAAAATTGTCATAGGTGTACCAGTTTGGGATTTTTTGTGATCAAAAAAATAATTTATGTTAAATTTATCACAGCCGTACCAATTTAGGGTTTTTTGTGATATTAATTATTTTTTTTATAGAAAAAAAAACCTGTGTTGGGGTCTCTCAAGAAAACGGGAGACATCTTGGGAGATGAACTTGAGACCGTACAAATCGTGCCACGTGGAACTTTAGGGGCTTTTGACTCTCACCTTTTTTGGTTTTTCCAATGGAAAAGTGTTAGCTTTAACTTGAAAGGCTTTAGCGTCCAATTTTTACCTGGCGCTTTCCGTATAGATCACATCCGATGGCCCCATTCTTGGGCGATGCATGAAGCCCCTTGAATATATCTTGGTCACGCTCAAATTGAATTCTAGCTTTTCGCTTCCACATTTGCGCCCCCGAGATTTTCGAGTGAACAAGCTTATAGTATAGCCCAATAGAGCGAATCGATTGTGACTAACGGCGTGTTATGGGAAGCACTGCATTCTCTAACAAGGGCAAGATTTAGTCGGAAACCCGGTCGTGGCGGTCGAAGAGCAAGCCCATTCCGTCACATACATACACGTATGCGTATGTACACAACGCTGAGAGCCTCGCACGGGGCCATTGCACATGTACAACTTGGATGAGGGGTTAGCAGGGCTTGGACTGTCGGGTTCAGTAAAAAATGCACATCCTCGGACCAAACCCACAAAAGATCTCCAAACGTTTTCCCAAGCGAAAGATGCTTCGGCGGAAGTCGTTAGAACTTGCACTTCCCTCGTCGTTCGGGAAAAACCCACGTTCGGTGGAATGGGTAAAGAAACCCGAGTTCGGTGAAAAACCCAACACTCACGTGTCTGTTCATGCGTTTCTTCAATGAAGTTGTTGGAATCTCTCGTCTGCCTAATAATCAAGTGAGGCGTCGCGTCATCGTTCTTCAGAACCACTTCCCCCCTCGTCGGCTCGTGAATTGCGCACTCTCTTTTTCTTTAAAAACCCCGCCTTTTCGAACATGGGCAAAAGGCAAAACCGACCCGCCCAAAAGCCTCGTCTCTCCTCCACTCGATCTAACAAATTCCCCCTTCCTTTGATCACATGAAGTTCGCTAGTCGTTGCTGTCGCGAGAAAACGTCGGAAGAACTCGTGAAAGCGTTGTTGGGTCTGGATCTCTCGAGCCTCGATTCGTCCGCGCAGTAGAACCGAGAAAGCTTTTGTTTTTCCTCAGGTTTTTGCCAGCATCTCGAAGTGGCCAGTGGCCGGGGGCTACTGTGAGCTCACATGTCGCACCGCAAAGAGGGGGAGGGGAAGAGAGAGAGAGAGAGAGAGGTGAAATTTGAAAAGTCTCTCTGCTAGGGAGAAGGGTGGGGCTCGTAGGTCGCGGCCCAAAGGAAGGAGGGGGGGGTCCATAACCAGACAACCTCCTGATGCAGGAGAAAGAAAAGCCAGTCCTACCTGCAATTCATCTTTTTTAACACATCAGATTCTTTTCTCCAAATATTTTCTCCCACCTTCACGTGATTCTGAGGCTCGCTCAGTTCAAGTCCCAGTCCAGTCCCGGGACGATACGACACCGCCTACCTTCTTCCACCCCTCTCTCTCTCTCTAGCCCTCCATTCTACGTGCTCTTGTCACGTACCTCCTGCCCCTTCTTCTCTCCCCTCCATTGCCCATACCTGCAGAAGCCCCAAAAACGCTAGCAGAGAAGACGACAAGTCGCGTGAAAGTAAAAAAGACAGCAGGAACCAAGAAAGGCATCGTTGCATCAGAGAAGAAACAGGAGCGCTCTCTCGAGTCCCTTCCCATCAGCGCCAATGCTGAGGCCAAGAGCCCCACCACGTCCCTCCGCACTGTCGTTTCTTGCTCTGCTCTGCCCTGTCCTCGCGCTCGCCGCTTCTGGGTCGCCTCCGTCGTCGAACCTCCTGTTGCCCCCCGACGCGTCGGCCCTCTTGGCGTTCGCGTCCAAGGCGGATTTGAACGGCGTCCTTCGCTTCTCTCCCAACACGAGCTTCCTTTTTTGCCAGTGGCAGGGGGTCCAGTGCGTCGGAGGCAGAGTCGTCCGTCTCGTCCTCGTAGGGCTCAGTCTCGGCGGCGAGTTCGCTCCCAACTCGCTGACTCGCCTCGACGAGCTCCGAGTCCTGAGCCTGCAGAACGACTCGCTCGCCGGCCCGATCCCCGACCTTTCCGGCCTCGTCAACCTCAAGTTCCTCTTCCTCGACCACAACGCCTTCACCGGCTCTTTCCCTCCGTCGATCTTGTCGCTCCACCGGGTCAGGACCCTCGACCTGTCGCACAACGGCTTGACCGGTCCGTTGCCTTCCTGGCTGGCCGAGCTGGACCGGCTGTACTACCTCCGGCTCGACGGCAACCGGTTCAACGGGACCGTCCCTCCGCTCAACCAGTCCACTCTGCAGGCGTTCAACGTCTCCGGCAACAACCTCACCGGCGCAATACCCGTCACGCCGGTCCTATCTCGCTTCAAGCTCTCGTCCTACTCGTGGAACCCGGGCCTCTGCGGGGAGATCATAAACAAGGAATGCAACCCCGGGCCACCGTTCTTCGCAGCCTCCTCCACGGCGGCGAGCGCGGCTCCGCCCCCTCCGGCGACGGCGCTGGGGCAGAGCGCGGAAGCGCGTGGCTTCAACCAGACCCAGCCGACTCAGAAGAAGCACAAGAGGACCGTGGTCATCCTCGGGTTCTCGTCGGGGGTGGCGGTGCTCCTGTGCTCGCTCCTGTGCTTCGCTGTGGCCGTTAAGAAACAGAGGGATTCGTCCCGGCTAGCGGCGAGTACAATCATGGCATCAGACGCCGCCGCGGCTGCCCAGGCCGCGGCCATCATGCAGATAGAGCAGGAGAACGAGCTGGAGGAGAAGGTGAGCGGTAGACTGCGCTTTATACGCTGCACGACTAATTTTAGTAGTAAACGAACGAATGCGGCTATTTTTCTTCGTAGTGCAATCATCGGTCATTTTCATTTTGCGGGTCATTCATTGCAGGTGAAGAGGGTGCAAGGAATGCAGGTGACGGCGAAGAGCGGGAGCCTGGTGTTCTGCGCGGGGGAGGCGCAGCTGTACTCGCTGGAGCAGCTGATGAGGGCGTCGGCGGAGCTGCTGGGGAGGGGGACGATGGGGACGACGTACAAGGCGGTGCTGGACAGCCGCCTGATCGTGAGCGTTAAGCGGATGGACGGTGGGAAGATGGCGGGGACGAGCAGGGAGGCGTTCGAGCGGCACATGGAGTCGGTGGGCGGGCTGCGGCACCCCAACCTGGTCCCCCTCCGCGCCTACTTCCAGGCCAAGGAGGAGCGGCTCCTCATCTACGACTTTCAGCCCAACGGCAGCCTCTTCTCCTTGATTCACGGTAACCCATCTTCCCCTTCCCTCCTCTCCTCTGTTCGAGTGCGGAGTCGATGCCCGAGTCGACTCGGCCTGGACTTTTCCGCGCTCTCCTCTCGAGCCATCGCCATCGCATCGCCATCGAGATTTCGACACGTGATCCATCGTACAGTTTGCTTAAGATTACTCGATCAAAATTACACAGTTGCCTGACCCAGCACCGTCCGCTCTGATCGATCATTTCGGGTTTTGGGAGTATGCGGACGAGCTCTTTTAGCTTTTGCGTAACAGGGAATCTTGCTGTGGGGATCGAGGTGTCTGTCGTTAATTAATTGCGGGAAGCACGTTTCTTCAGGATGGGATTGACGTTAACTAATGTCTAAGCAACGCTTAATTATTGGCGATCACTGCGGCACTGGACAACTGTTCTTTGATTAGCTCGCCCCCCCTTCCCAAAAGATCCTTCTTTGCTTGAGGATCATCGACCTAAGTGGGGTCCAAATCCCAGTTTTAAAACTGGAATTCACGCTTCGAATTTTGAAAAAATTTCGCAACCACAGGGACCACAGAACATCTTATAGTAGGATCAGATCTGGTAGGGTTAACGAGAGGGGGCCCTCCTTGATCAGGCTCGCCAGCTCGAAACTCGAACGGAAGTCGGGGAAGGTCTGACAGAAGTGGAGCCCCCGCTCTCCATTTTGAACGCCCAAGTTTTGCTCATCTTTTTCTTTCTCGGCCTTTTCCTCCTTTTCTCCTTGTCTCCTGAATGGTCAACTTCCGATTACAGCAGCTTTGGTACGTCATGGGACAGCCAAAGGAGCCGACACCGAAAGGACGGTCGTAAATTTGATAGCCACTAGGGGCTACGTGCTGATTTTTGCTTTTGTGGGTTCATTGTCATGATGCATTGCGATGGCTCTGCAGGATCCAAATCAGCGAGGGCCAAGCCCCTCCACTGGACATCGTGCCTCAAGATCGCCGAGGACGTGGCGCAGGGCCTCTCCTACATCCACCAGGCGTGGCGGCTCGTCCACGGCAACCTCAAGTCCTCCAACGTCCTCCTCGGCCCCGACTTCGAGGCCTGCATCGTCGACTACTGCCTCTCGGTGCTGGTCGACCCGCCCCTGGACGGGGACGACCCCGACCTGGCCGCCTACCGGGCGCCCGAGACCAAGGACCCCGGTCACCAGCCGACCAACAAGTCCGACGTGTACGCCTACGGCACCCTGCTGCTGGAGCTCCTCACGAGCCGGCCCCCGTCGCAGCACCTGCGGCCGATGCCCGGCGGCGACGTGATGGGCTGGGTGAGGTCGACGAGGGATGACGACGGGGGCGGCGGGGGCGACGACCGGCTGGCGATGCTCCTGGAGATCGCCATGGCCTGCGGAGCGAAGTCGCCGGAGCAGAGGCCCACGATGTGGCAGGTGTTGAAGATGCTGCAGGAGATTAAAGAGGCCGTGTTGGACGACAGTGAACTGGACCTGCACAAGGAACAGTGCTAGCTTAGTAATTGCGTGCCTCCTAGTACGCTGCAGCAGCGTCTTCATTGATAGGAGGAGGATAGTAGATAGAAAAATATTGGAGAGACCGGTGGTGTAAAAAGAGAAACTTTATATGTAACTTGGTCATAACCAGTTTTCATTGAATGCCTTCTGACAACCTTCGGCGGGGACATGGTTTCAAGGGGCAATCACATGACAGCTGCATCAGTCTTTTGTCCGTTCTACACTCGAGAAATTTTCTTATTCGTTGAATCAAGCATCTAAACTTTTCAATTTGGTATAATGGGAGGTCTTTGTTAAATAATTCGTCCGTGGCACGTGGCATGCGATTTTGCTGAGGTGGCTTGCTTATTTTGCAAGATCTAAAACACAATTTGCAACGTGGTTCGTTTGCTCGATGAAATTTATGTCATTCTCCTTCGAAGTATCGAGTGATGAGGACGGAGATAGAATGTTGACTCTGCCGATGTAGCCATTATCTGAAGAGGCCGCAATGGATGCCAACATGGATGGTTAAGGGCTATTTAACGGTGTAGCGTCCGCGTTAACATTCATCCTCCACGATTTTAATGGTGACTCGTTTGAAACTGAGTTTGAAAAGTCGAGATACTTGATTAAACAAAAATAAATAAATTAGGTACTCGATCGTAAAATGGGTAAAAGTTATAGTGTCATTACTCCTTATTTTGATGCTCTCCTAAGTAAATGGGTTGGTGAAATTGGGGTGGGCTCACAGATCTTAGAAGTGCGGTGGGATCTTATGCTTGTTTGAGTGTGCGACGATTATTCTGCCTTCTGGCATAGTGAGCTATAGGCCTTCCTTTTGTGTTTTCGGTGTTATAAAAGTGAAATTTTTGGGATAGTTTTCGCGCATCAAAGTAAGTTTATTTTTTCAGTCAATCAAAGGAGATGTCTTACATTCACTAACCTTAATTTTATTTTTCTTCGTCATGCCGGGTGCATTGTGCTTGAAACCGCTAATCGAATTGAATTCAGATTATCCCAAATCCCCTACCCTAATTTGAGTAGGAAGCCATCTATTCGTGACTCGAGCTCGAGAGAACTTTAGCATAGTATATTATCATAAAGATTTTAAACGCAAACTTACCACCTGACCCAATATCCATTTCTTTATTACGATTCTTGATTATTTTTCACGTGACATTAAAAACATTATAAAGAGGGCTGTGTTGAAAATAACTTATGTATTCTTGTTCAATGATCAAGTTAGTTTTTCAAACTTTAATTTCGTTCAATCTGGTATTTACACTCTCCAAATTGAACCTATTTAGTCATTTAAATGGATTTGATTCAATTGGCATCTAATCTAATTCGGCTGTGAAATCAATGTTGAACATCAATACATATCTATGTAATTTATAAAAAGACACGAGAATAACAGAGGGGGAGAAGAGAGCGTCGGCCGCCCGGCGAACACAGGGGCCTACTTGCCCAAATCGGGAAAATTGTCAAAAAATCCTAAACCTATTGAGTCATAAACTTTTCAATTTTGCCAATTAAATATATCTAGTCAATTTTGGCAAAACTCGCTCACATGGACGCCAGTAATGACATATAGGACGATCAATGCCAATGTGGACATTTTAAATAATTTTTTTATAATTTCTTTGATTTTTTCTCTTTCTTTTTACCAATGATTGAGGAACAGCCATCGGCCATGGGCAGTGATTGTAAAGGGCCGATGGCTAGTGAGGATTAGCCTCGCCATATCTGGGGAGGCCGACCCTCGCCCAGGCCAAGGCGGCCTCGCCAGACATCGCCTTGGCCCAAGCGAGGCCGCTATGGCCTCAGTTGCCTACCCTCGCCAGTTATTTTCCCTGCCCAAATTATAAACCAGCGAGCACATCCAATTTAAAAAGGAAAAAAAAATCTTCCAATAATTTCGAACTTTCCACTCTTCGAATGAAATAATGTCAGTGAAAACTCTCATGAATAGAATTACACTGACAATTTTTTCAAAAAAACATCAGCGAAATTCCAATAGATTCGCATTTGCAGATCATCATCATCACACGAAATCATCTGCTGCAAAATTTGCCAATTCACCGGGACACCCCCACAGCCTGGTCGGTTCTTGCTTCCTCTCTTCTGATACACGGACGAAAAAACACCACCTCTGCTATTTGGGCTTCGTCCATCGATCGACCGAGCGAGAGCGAGAGGGAGAGAGACAGAGACAGAGGACATGTCCGCCGGCATCGCTCGGGGTCGCTTGTCGGAGGAGCGGAAAGCCTGGCGTAAGAACCATCCCCACGTTCGTTTTCGAACCCTCCCTTCTCTCTTTCGATGCGTCCGCTTTTCTTGTTTTCCTCCTCCTCCTCCTCCTCCTCCTCCTCCTGTGTTTTGCGCTTCCTGATGTTCCTGAATCCCTGTGAATTCTTCGTCGGCTGGACCTGGAAACAACAGGGTTTCGTGGCAAGACCGGAGACTGCTCCAGATGGATCCGTGAACCTGATGGTTTGGCATTGCACTATACCCGGCAAAGCTGGCGTTAGTCCTCGCTTCCCTAACCTCACGAATAATATGACTTTGCTTTTCTTTTTTCCTGGGTGGGTACTTATTTCAATTGGAATTGTAGCTGTGGTCTCCGCTTAGACTAAAATGACCCAGTCAGTGCTTCAAGGTCGTGTGGTTGATCAGTGTATGGTATAATCTGAAAGTGTTAGATTGGTGTGGGAAGGTATAATCACCAAGAAGATATGCAATGTATTGCATTTGCACCTCTTGGCTAGTGGTGGAATCTTTTGATTGCGCTTGGGTGTATATCAGATCCGGGGAAGACCCCAAATATCATGAACTTACTGCTTTGTGAGTAAAGTTCATACCTTTTGGCCTCAAGTTGGTTAGTTTGCGGTCTTTGATTTCAATTGGCCCAAAAGTTAGAATGGCTCGGTAATTAGGTTTGAGGACTAGCTTAGGTTCAGAAAGACGAGTTTGGCTGTGGTCTTGGGGCTTGATATTTGAGTGTGTGAGTGATAATATGTTTTAAAGTGGACTTGCCATTCAGTGACATTGTGACTTTGATCATTGGCTAGTCAGTTGCCACCATCGCGAGGAACATAATTCATAAGAATCTGCTGCCTTGTATTTGATGCATTGGAAGGCAATGATGACCGCTTCTTGCTAGGAAAACCATGAAAGCTCATTTCTTTAAGTTGCAAGTTGCGACTGAGATGACAATGGCAATGGGCTGGAGTCCAGATAAGTTGGATATTATTTCAGTGACAAGGAACTCTTTGTTATATCTTGTCAAAATAGCGTCAAAAACAACTCTCATATGATACCAAAATGGAAGTAAAAAGTTAAAATTGATAGTCATTTGCTAGATAAGTATTATGAGGTTTATCTGTATAGTTCTACCAGATTGTGATGCGATGCTTATCCTGTATCATCTGTTAGCTAATGACCATATTACTTGTATGAGGTTGCATTACTCTGATTGGGTGCCATCTAAATGCTCAGTTTGATATGGAGTTATGAGAATCTAGAGAAACATTGTGGATAGCTTTGAGAAGCCTATGAATTGTGTGTGAAGTACTTTGAATGTACTACGGCATTTCTTCTTATGCAGACTGACTGGGAAGGTGGCAATTATCCACTTACACTATACTTTACGGAGGATTACCCTAGCAAGGCTCCAAAGTGCATGTTCCCTAAGGATTTTTTCCACCTCAATGTCTATGGTTCAGGCATGGTCTGTCTGTCAATCCTCAATGAAGATGTAAATACTCAGTGTAAACTGCTAGTTAAAATTTGCGATGCTTGCAATGAATACTTGAATTCATTACCAAATCCAATTTCCTTCATGATGATTTGAAGGGGTGGAGACCCTCTATCACGGTGAGGCAAATCTTAGTGGGCATTCAGGATTTGCTTGACCAGCCCAACCCCGCTAGTGCAGCAAAATATGACGATTACCAACTTTTTGTAAAGGTTGTCTCATTATACCTATTTTGAATTCTCGATTTTTTTTTATGTACATTAACGCTTGAGGTGCAACTTTTGTGGCCCTGATGACTAGGATCCAGCTGAGTACCAGAGAAAGGCGAGGCAACAAGCCAAGCAATATCCGCGTCTTGTATAGTGTTGAGCTTTATGATCGGCAGACTTCTGTGCTCTGTGCAAGATGGGTACGAAAGTTAAACTGAGATGATCGCAAAACAAGGCCGAAGTGCTGCTCTTTAGTTTATTTCCAGTCTCCGCTTTGAAGTTGTTGGAGTGCTTCAATTCGTTGACAGATTACCAGAGGCTTCCGAGTTGAGGATAATGGTTATTCTCTGCTGAAAGAGGTATCTATGTCGGCCTCATAGGCGATGTGTATGGAATATTGGCTCATTCGTTTTTGCTTTTAGAAACTCGTGATACATGATAACTTCCCCCCCATTGACTGACATCCATGCCATTATAATTAAGAACCGTTTCTTGAAAATCTTACCTTCAGCTTAGTTGCGGGCGTGATAGGTGGCAACATTCTAGTAGGAACAGACTACTTTTATTGTTTCTGGAGCATATGAATGTACACCATAGTATGTAGGTCCACGTTTTAGAAACTCTGGTGTCGTACTTGATATGACATGTCTGCTAACTCCTCCTTAAGTATCATAATCAATAGTTAATTTATTGGAGCGACGGGTTTCGGTTGTGAAACTAAGCCAATGCATCTGGTTGTCACATTTGATTCCTTACCATTTAAAATTCTGTGAAGTCAATGACTGACGTTCTCTGCCTCATCTTATCGGCCATACAAAGGCCTGACTGATTGCGGTCTCTGCCCGAAACTCTGATTACGACATCAAATGTCAAACCCCTCAACCAGCACTTACTTCCATCGACTTCTCATTTCTTCCTTTGGTGTGGTCGGTACCCGTACCAATTACAAAAATGTGCATACCACTCTGCATAATCTTCAGTTCTAAAGTTAAAATCAGTGACCCCAGATCTTGTTTGGGAAAAAAAACTGGTCTGATCATTCTTGGTGCCAACTACCTGGTGGTTTCACCAAGAAATAGTGAACTTGATTGCCTCGCAAGCATTTGTCACCAGATTCTCTATTGCATAGAAGCACGGTGACTGAGAGATTGGCTTGTCACGCTCTTCATAACCCTGCTTCCTATGATTTCACCTACTAGTTTCATTCTCCGATGTCTTCAGTTCTAAAGTTAAAATCAGTGACCCCAGATCTTGTTTGGGAAAAAAAACTGGTCTGATCATTCTTGGTGCCAACTACCTGGTGGTTTCACCAAGAAATAGTGAACTTGATTGCCTCGCAAGCATTTGTCACCAGATTCTCTATTGCATAGAAGCACGGTGACTGAGAGATTGGCTTGTCACACTCTTCATGGCCCTGCTTCCTATGATTTCACCTACTAGTTTCATTCTCCGATGCGTTTTTGCTATATGTGGAACTATGTCGGGTGGGATACCTTTAAAAAAGGGAAAATATACTTTGTTGCCCCAGATACTAGGGTGCAGATGCCAAATTTCTGTCTGACCTAACTGGTTGCTGCAATTTTCGTTCAAATTCAATAGATAATTTAACTGATTCCAGACTTTGAAGGAGCAAGATCAGATGTGTATGGACATTTGTATGAGGATATGTACAAAGTGAAGTCTCACCAAGAGTAAATAACCTTCAAAATCAAAGAATAACTGCTATCAGAGATGTACAGAAACTATCCTGAATCCTACAACAACCAGAAAAGACTCCCGACACGGCTTCTCATTTCATTTGAAAGGCGTAGATCTCTCTGTCATACTCTGTATCAGCTTCTATGATGTAAGGAAACAAATCCCTTTCATACTATCACACAAGCTGTGTGCATCAGCTTTCTGGTGCCAAAAAAATTCAAGCTTCGATTTATAACCTGGTGACGTTTCGCTTCTCGTAGCTATAAAACTGTGTTGGGGGATCTTCCGCTACTATCCAGAGCGATCTCAAAAAGATCAGCCTCAGACTCATCATCATAATCCCGAACTCTGCTGTTGTTATTACCATGGTTGTGGCTGCCTCTGCTCATGAACTGGTTAAGCCACTGGGAGTCGATCCTTCCCATTGAAAACAATTCTCTGCTGTCCTCATAACCCAGAGTTGCAGCAGGGGAATTCATGAGCGGGCCGATGAAGCAAGGATTCGACGTGCGCTGCGTGTTCGCGGGTCCATATCTGAAGGCAGCTTGTCCGAAGTTCACGAGAACCATGACGTCGCTGTTTGCTGCAAGTGTCGGATAGAGCGGAGCACCATACTCCTCCGTCTTGCAGTGGATCACGTGCATCAGCTCCGAGTCCACCGTGAAGAAGACCTTCTTTTGCCTGGGGTCGAACCCGCATCCGATCACCTTCTCCATCCTTCCCCATTCTGCTTTCTCAGATTCAAACACGAGTTCGATTCCTGAACGAGAGATGACTCCAAAGGGTAAGTTGACTGCCAATAGGCCAATAAGCTCAATTTTCACAACCTCAAAAATAGAGAAATAATTAGCACGATTCATTTTACTTGATCAAGTTAATCGTGACTCAAGAACAAAACTTACGCGAAAGAATCCAATAGTAAGTTGCATAAAAGCAAGACAACTACAGAAGGGAAAATGACACAACGACAGCAGCAAACTGTATTGTCAATCTGAACAGGAAAAGGCGTTTCATTTTGACGGTTGTTCTTGTAGAGCAAATCTTGGCAATGTCCAAAAAGCAGGGGCCTTTTCCTTACGACTGACTCTTAACTCGGGCTGAAAACAAGAACTAGTGGCATAAACACAAAAGCCTTTGGCCTCCACTTTTCATGATGAGCGAACCATATGAAATCAAAGTGCGACTCTGGAAAACGGAAAAGCTATTCCATCAAGAACTTTTTCCTGCTGCCCAGTAACTGTCGTCAATAAAGGTCGTTCCTTTTCGGCTTTCCTTCCTTTTCAAAATGCGCACAAAAGATGATAATGCAAGGATCAGAAGTTTTACCATCAAGACAGACAGAACCATTCGAGTTGAACCCGATGGAACCCGGATAGCTTCCGGGAAGTTTCAGAGGAAGCGAACCTCCGGCCGTGAGACCGAGCGACACCTCGACGGCCTCGCCATTGCCCCCGTCCTTGATATTGAGCTTCAATTCTTCGACCTTGTAGTTGCTTCCGCGACCGGTGCTAGTAACATGGGTCAAGGACTCCGAGTTGGCGTTCAAATTGGAACTATCACGAATGAGTTTAGTCCTCTCGCCTTCCTGGGACTTGAAGGCATCGCGATTGCTCCTGGAGTACAAAATCGTGATCTCGAAATAGGCTTCCTGAGGAAAAGAGGAATTGCCCAATGGAGGGCCCGGCAAGGGCAAGGCAGTTTTGATGACAGATGAAGCTGCCATAGGATTGTTGTTGCTTAAACATATCTTCTTCAGCAATCCAGGATTCAATCTTATCTTCTGCATGAAATCGGCGGAGCCCGGGCACACTTCCCAGCTTATCTCCGGCTCGATTCCGCTCCTGTGATCGCCCGTCGCGCAGACGCCGAGCAGCACCGACCGGGTCGACGGCGACGACTTGTAGCCCGCGAAGGCGAACCTCGACCACCCGCTCTCCACCGCGTCCGTGACCAGCGACGGGTGATCGACCCAGCTGAACAGCGGCCTCGTCGAGGCCCCGCGGCGGAACGCGTTGTAACTCGGCCGCCTCCTGCCTTCCCGATCCAGCTGGTGGCGCAGGCTTGTCTGCTGGAGCTTGGCAATCCCATCCTGGAGAGACTCGGCGGTCCTAGCCCTCGGGACGAGCTGCTCCCTACCTCCGCCTCTCGAACCGCAGCGCCGACACGCGATGACGGCGACGAGGATCGTTACGACGACGACAACCGCCAGGGCCAATGTCAACCATAACCGTTCTTGCATCTCCTTCTGTATCCGAGGACGATCAAGATCAGCTTCCCTGCTCTGTAGTCCGTTTCTCCTCCTGATTGTTCTGATCCTGGAGACCCTTTTCGCTCCTGTGCTGCTGAAAGAAAGGGAAGGGCGTGGCGTGACAAAGGGCGTGGGGGGTTCGTGGTGAAGAAAGAGGGCATGGGAATGAAGGAAGGAAGGAAGGACGGAAGGAAGGAAGGCGTGGACTGAAGACTGGTTCAAGAAAGGCAGCAAGAAAACTCTAAAAAACTGGTCCAAAACAATCGGCAAAAGTCGCAGCACTAGAAAAAGAGTACAATTCCTGACAGATGGAGATGGTCATGCATTCACTTGCGTTTTTCACCTTCTCTTTTCGTGGGTTCATTTCATTTTCACTTGCCCTCTGATCTGATCGACCCCAACTCCCTCTTCAATCAAACGGTCGTGTTTTTTTGGGGGCTCCTAAAAAAAACCGAGAAGCGTTCGATGATTCTGAGAACACTGACAACATAAGGCGGGCGAGGGTCAAATCACATGATGCGGGGAAAAGTCAATGGGATATCATCAAGGGACACATTTTTAAATGACACCCTTCTCGTCTCATCACGGACAAAGATGAAATTTTGGTCAAAAAATTTAACGTTGGGACCAGAACGAGGAGGTTTGTCTTTCTTTGTCTCGAGTCGTCGTGGTGGGGATGCGATGTAACGCACGACGCCCCGCACCCGATCGCTCCCTCCGAATAATTGAACAAATTATTCTTTCTTCTTTTCCATTGATTTCGCATTTAGGGACCCCAACCGACAACGCCTTCGGACTTCATTAAAAAGAACTACGCGTTTGGCTGGCGATGTTGTTGTTATTTGTTTTGCATTGAAAGAGGAGAGAGAAGAGACGAGATGGAATGAGTTCTTTCTTCTCTTTTTCTTCTCTTTTTGTCTAGAGGTAAGAAATTATAAAGCGGGAGATAGGATCGAGGAATTTGTGTGTGATTGAATTTATCGTGATGAAGAGCGCATCGGCCTACTTTATATGCTATACGAGAGACTATTGAAGGTGACATTTATTGATCGAAATATGTACAATCAAAGGGGATATCGCATTATCGACCAAGAAAGAAGAAGGAGATATTATGCAATTTTGAAAGGTTCAGAAAATCAATATAAATATTTTGATTATTTCTTATATAGGCAAATATCCTAATTTACTCTAATAGTCTATATTAGAGAACTCGTTGTTAAGTATATCTATTATGGAGTAATTTAATTTTCGAGATATTATGCGAGAATAGTCATTGCGTACCAGTGGATCGCACTCGTTTCTCAGTTAGCCATTGTTGACAAAATCAAAAACAAAATAGGTCAATAAAATTAAACACAAAGCCTCGCGTACCGGATGCACAATAATTTGCTCTGTTTTTTTTTTCCTAGTTAGAAATTAAACACAAAGCCTGGCGTACCCTATGCACAATAACTTGCTCTGTTTTTTTTTTTTTTTTTTTGGTAAGAGCAAGTTATTGCTCTGTTTACCATGTCTATTTTGATTTACTTCTTCCTTTTTTTTCCCGGAATGGCTGTCAGTACATGTATGTGGAAGTAGATCTGGTAGTTGCCTGAAAAGCTCATGGGGTCGAGCCGAATGAGCTTGAAGATTAATTTCAGATGGCTTGGACAATACAATTTTGTTATATAGCCTATCCTACTTGTAATAAATCCTGTTTACTCTTTTAGAGTAAGTTCCGATATAAGGATCCAATTCACCGCCAACGACTGGCCATAAGTAGAAAGAGAAGGAAAAGTCCAAAAAAAGAGAAAAAAAAATCATTTAAAAAAATGTTCACATTGGCGTCGGCAGTACCACGTGGAACGACCGGCGTCCACGTCAGCGATTTCAGGCCTAAATTGACCGGATAAGCCGAATCGGTACCAATATGAAAATGTTCATGAGTAAATTGGCCCGATTGAAAGGTTTAAGATCGGATCGATACAAATGTAATAGGTTTAGGACTTGTTTTTTGGGGTACTTTTCCCCAAGCAGGCACCGCACCGCCCCGCACCTGATTATTTTCTCCAAATAATTAATCAAATTATTCTCTCTCTCTTCCCTCTATTTTTTTTTGGGGGGGTCATTTTAATGGTCGCCTCGCCATTCCATTGACCTCGCTTTAAAGAAACGGACCGACAACGCCTTCGACTTCATTAAAAAGAATTACGCGTTGGTTGGCGATATTATTATTATTATTATTATTATTATTATCATCATTGCATTGAAAGAGGAGAGAGAGAGAGAGACAAAAGATGGAATCAGTTTTTTTTTTTTTTTTTTTTGCGGGTGTGTGTGTGCGTGGTGTGTGTGTTGGTGTGCCCGCACGAGTCAATTAAAGAATAGGGGGGCGGCTTCTAGAAATCCGGAGTTGTTGTTGTTGCTCGCGAGAACGCAAATGCGGGGCTGTCCAACGTTGAATCACAGTCCCATTCATCATCGTTTCTCGTCCCTTGTCCGACGTTGGGGATTTCCGGGGAGGAGGGGGACCGCGGGCGTCTCGAGGCGGCGACGCCGACGTGGGGGAGAGCGGGTGGCCCGCCTTCGATGTCTCGGCGCTTCCGGGGGTGCTTGTTAAGTATGTTATATAGAGTGACTTAATCCTCGAGACATCGATTGCAAACTGCACAAGAAAATAGTCGTCGTGTGTTCAAGGATCGCCTGCTTCCGTCCACCGGTGGTTGTCGACAAAATTCAGAACGAAATAGGCCCAGAATACAGCGAGAGAGATCGCGAGATCGATTTGACACTAATCCTAATAAGAAATTAAACACAAAGTCTCACATATCGGACGCATAGTAATTTACTCTGTTTACCATGTCATGTACGGAAAGCGTCTATTTTGATTGCTTTTTTTTTTTTTTTTCTTTTTGGAGTGGCTATCGTTACATGCACATGGAAGTAGATCCGGTAGGTGCCTGAAAAGCTCATGGGGCTGGGCCAAATGAGCTCAAAGATCAATTTCAGTTGGCTTGGACAAAGGCAATTTAATTATATAGTCTATCATGCTCGAAATATACTACTTTTAGTCTTTTTGAGTAAGTTCCGACATAAGGATCCAATACATCACGGTAGGGGTGTGCAACCGGACCGGGTTTATCCGGAAACCGGACCGGCTCACGCGAAAAACAGGTCTGGGTACCGGTTCCTTGTTAAAACCGGTTAGAACCGTCCATTTTGGAACCGGTTTCCGGTTTCAAGTAAAAACCGAACCGGACCAGTTTTAGAACCGGTTTTAAGATAATGTAAAAAAAAAAAAAAAACCCTAAATGAAGATCACGTTGCCCTACCTCTCTTCTCTCTTCGCCGCTCCCTTGTATCACTTCTCTCTTCGCCACTCCTCTGTCTCAGTTCTCTCTTCGCCGCAAGATCACGTTCGCTTCCCCCGTCCGGCTCTCACCGATCCACGAGTCCTCCGTTCCCTCAGTCTCTCTTCTTCGTCTTTGTTGCAAGGTCAGATGGTTTCGAGCTCGAGCTCCGAATCTGTTCTCGTGTTGGGGCAATGTTCGAGTTCGAGTTTGAGGTTTTGCGTTCGAGTTCGAGTTTTTCTGTTGACATGTAATTATGAGTATCTTATTTACCCAGGAATCGTCAATTTCAAGTTCAAGGATTTTGAAGCTGCTGTTGCGGACTTATCTGCCTGTGTTAAGCTCGATAAGGAGAACAAATCTACATATACATATTTGGTTTGTCCTATTTTTGAAATATCCGTATTATTTGATTCGGGTATGTTGAATTCGCCGAGTTACAAAGGTTACATTGTTGAGATATTTGACATATTGTTGTGTAGGGTTTGGCATTGTGTTCAGTTGGTGACTATCAAAGGGCTGAAGAAGCACATTTAAAAGCTATCCAGCTTGATCGAAACTTCCTTGAAGCATTGTCTCATCTTACACAGGTTCCATCATGACCGACTTTGTTAATTTTCAGACATGATGATATTTTTTTGTTGCCACCGCAAACATTTTTTCTTGGCAAAGTGTGACCGTAGTTTAGTCTCAATGAGACTGATTCTTGGCTAAAGGCTAATTTTGTGAGCGAACTAAAACATATGTTAATGGCTAATGTGAACTTATATCTTCTCTTAATTCGCACTTAGGAGTCTGTACACAGAAAGTGTTGTCTATGTTGCTTTGTTAAGCTTATTATTTAATAGAGATGAGACTTGCATATATACATTTTCAGGTTCTCGGGTAGACCCTGAAACCGGATCGGAAAAACAGGGTCGGTTCCAAAACAGGGTCTAGGGAAAACATGATCGGTTTCAGGTTCCAAAAATTGGGAACCGATTATAACAGGGTTGGTTTCAGGTTCCAGGTCTGGACCCAACCCACCCTGGAACCGATCACCCCTACATCATGGGCGAGTTGATATCCAGATTCAGTCAGTCATGTCGATAAAAGCATATAGCGTCACTAATTTTATATTTTTTTTCCCCCCAATGCTGGAGTACGAGCGCAAAGATCCGACTATCCAACAGCTCCGCATTCCTGTTGGCTTCTAGGTTATGCGGATCAAATGCGAATGGTCCTGGAGGTGGGAGAAAAATCACACGATGCAAATTTGACCAGCAACAGTGGGATTAAGCACGAGGCCAACCACGCCACAACACGAGCTAGGAGCATCTGTGTAATTTTTCCAAAATCTTGACTTGTAGAAAAAGGCTACAGCTACACATAATAGCCCGGCATTGACAAAGATGCTAAAAGCATAATGCATTTTTTTTTCTTTTGACAATTCCCACTCCTAGAAAAGATCTACTACCAATCCTTTGGTTCCTCAATAAAAAAAAGTGGTGTTTTAAAAAAAGTTCGGGGAAAAAAAGCGCAGGGCTCCTCGTTGTCCCACATGGAATTCCTCAACCGATGATTCCGTGGTCCCACCCCAATGTTTAGCGATTACCTTACATTTTTACATGGGTCGACGTCTTCGGCGTGTGTTCAGATCGATCGGCACTTTCGACTTTTTGACTCTCGCTGTTGATTTCTTCTCAACTTTCCTGGAATTTGATTTCTGTTTGATATTGAACGCCTCGCATGTTCTAGAAAGCATGTGGAAAAAATAGTGTCGGAAGTCCTAGACCTTTGTATATGGAATGCGATCGGTTCCCAAGTTGGTCGAGTCTTTAATTTTTTTTTTTCCGAAATTTCTCTGATTTCTTCTGCGTGACGCCCTCTCATTCTGTCGTGCAAGCAATCCAACCGTGCTTGTTTTTATATATTTTTTGTTTTAACCCAATGCTCATGAGTTGATCGCGTCGAATAGATGTTTTAGCCTCGATTTCATTTGCTGATAAGATTTGGGGCTTT